CTCAAAGGTAGCTGACATTGCTACATTGCACATGGTGGCCAGTTAACACACTTCGCAAAGGTCTTATCAACTTGACATTCGCACAATCTATTCACCACCTAACATTCAAATAACTGTAACCAGTGTCAACACCTCAGCAGTATCACATGTGATTGAGTTAGAACCTAAACACCAGCTTACCAGCTATCACACTCACCGTCGAAACTCATCAGCGTGTACCAGCTCATCAACGGCACAACAGATTCACCCACGCCCTCACAAATGCTCTAATGGATTGATAGCATAAATTTCCCACCATCCGACTACCTCAAAGCGTTAGATCCGCGTACGCCGCACAACCTACACTTTTCCATTGGAAAACATGTGCTCAGCGCTTCCTCAACTAGAACAGCCCTCACTAACCCATTGGAAAACATGTGCTCACCACTGCCTAAACCAGAACAGCCCTCACTCACCCATTGGAAAACATGTGCCCCGATGCCTAAACCAGAACAGCCCTCACTCACCCATTGGAAAACATGTGCCCCGATGCCTAAACGAGAACAGCCTTCACTCAATCATTGGAACACATGTGCCCCAAATGCCGGAACCAGAACAGCCCTGACGTACACTTTGGAAAATGTGTGCCCCCAATGCCTAAACCAGAACAGTGCTCACGTACCCATTGGAAAACATGTGCCCCCAATGCCTAAACCAGAACAGCCCTCACTCAATCATTGGAACACATGTGCCCCAATGCCTAAACCAGAACAACCGTCACGTACCTATTGTAAAACATGTGCTCCCTGTGCCTAAACCAGAACAGCCCTCACGTACCCATTAGAAAACATGTGATCCCTCTTCCTAAACCAGAACAGTCCTCACGTACCCACTGGAAAACATGTGCCCCCAATGCCTAAACCAAAACAAACCTCACGTACCCATTGGAAAACATGTGCCCCCAATGCCTAAACCAGAACAGTCCTCACGTACCCATTCCGAAACAAGTGCTCTCTGTGCCTAAACCAGAACAGCCCTCACGTACCCATTGGGAAACATGTGCTCCCTGTGCCTAAACCAGAACAACCCTCACCTACCCATTGGGAATCATGTGCTTTCCACTGCCCTAATCACGCACAACCCACTGGAAAACATGTGATTCCCACTACCCTTAACTCTCACAGCCCACACTTAGCCACGGGAACAATATGTGTTCTGTATTACCTTTCTACAGTGGTATCACTTGCCTCCCATTCAGCACGGGATTGAAGTGCACAGCATGTTTGTGCTATGACGCTCTCGCATGAAGTATTTTAATTCACAGCTTAATTCGTGAAGTACATTACGACTCGACTATCTTGTCAGAGAGCAAGGTAAATTGTATGATTATATCTGTAATGGAAATAGATCTGGCGAGGGTAGCAGTAATCATATCGGAAATATAATCAATTGTAATCCGATGCTCCTTTGAACAAATTATGAAAAGACTTCAAATATCCAATCTAATGCAATCCTGATATCTACTTATCGGGTGTATATGTGTACGTGGGATCCCCCGCTGTCCCCACAACCTCCTCCCGACACAAACAGATAGCAAGACGCCGCTTTCCCAGTCATATAAACATGTTATTTCAAGTAAAAAACAAACCTTGGGGGAAATGAAATATCCAAGGTGGATTTGACCCTTCGGCATGTAGCGGGCGCATAGAGGTGGGCGTAGAACGGGGAATGAGAAGTTTGTTTGTTTTAAACATATTTTAATCCATTTCATTTTTGAATAAAATATGTTTAAAACAAACAATGGGGAGCTGATCAGGTTGTAAAAATATGCTCAGTTTAAGTTGTCACAATATAGACTTCAGATAATGTTCTCCTGATAGGTGTACGCTTAGAGCATGCTGATGCAGGGAATACACCGCTATATAAATTCACTTATTATTATTATAGGTTAATTTCAGCAGTTGCTTAGTAATGCCTCTCAAATATGTGAGGACCTGTGTTACATTAAGCACATTACCGTGACATGGTCATGATGTCCACAACACCACATTTCATCATTTCTGTGGGTGTAGGAGTCATGAATCGCTACATTGAACAGCAGGCTGACATACACGCCGCGATTGCCGTCCTTGCATGTATTAAATTATCAATATGTCTGACGACAGCACGCCACAAACTCACTCGATATTATCGCGATTATTTCATGTTTATTCCCGTGTCAGCTCCCACAGACCATCTCTAATCCTGTCCGATCTAATGTCTAGGAAGTCAATAAAAGAGACAATGCCCTAATGACTAATTGATCAGAACAGAAGAGCAGAAAAGAACAAAACCGGCCCGCGTTGAAGCTCTTCAGAATGGAACAGAAGAGTTCACATGGTATAGTAAGTGGCAACAACGTGACTATATCCAGCAGTGTCACATGACTTACCTCATATCACATGTCCTATATTAGATTAATACCATCATATCTGTGGTATTGATTCTGCCTAGATATCGCATCCATGGCATAGCATAAGTATTGTGGTGATATACTTGATGTATGATTTTACTTTTATCACCTAACGTATGTCAGATAGTTGGTGTAGTTTCTGTGGTATCGAAGTGTATATTGCAATAGATCGATAGTGTTATCAAGATTAAACCTCCTTGGCGTCTTATCACACTGGGATAGTTCCATAGCATTACATACATGGAACTGCATCTATGTCTCATTGATTACATCAATAATTACTGTATTGCTGTTATTCCACCGATGACCGGTCACACATGTATGTTGCCACATTGACCTTGCACTCCAGAAGGTATTACATTTATCACACAGATATGAACGTTTGGTATGCGGTAAACGGGTGAAAGTTTCTTCATTTCTGCTCTTGTATATTTCTATCTAACATTTCGTTGAGGGATTATTCTGTCATCTCTGTTTTATTCAAAACACAATATGTTATTCATTAAGATCAGTCCTATATGACTACACACCAAGCTGTAAATGGGGCCCTGTATTAATGTGATACTAAGAAAGCAACTTGTACGTTTTTATGAAACGTGAAAGGAAATAGAGATTTTTAGAAACTCGCCATGAACACGTAAAGCGAGTTAATGTGGAGCAAATTCAATTCTAATTAAATTCATACTTGATTTATGGATACGAGTAATGAAATCCACAAATATTTGTGTACGGTATCCATGAACAGTTGAAACCGAAACTGAGAAGCTACCACGGTACATATCAAAGCAGGGCCAATACTGTGAAAGTTGGAGCAAGCCAGAACTTTGATGTTGAATATTTCAAGTCATAGCATGATTCATGAGTATCCCATTAATTATATCATATTAAAACATGAATAACTGTAAGAATTAAAATATCAACTATCGATAATTGTTATATCGTTGAGAATTGGTAATACATTTATCAGAAGACAATAGCATTAATCAGGCTTTCCCCTTTTGTTACAAGGAAAGCAGTCTGTATTCTATGCAGATGTACAAGCATCTACTTCCTTGGGAGTAGTTAGAGTAGGGTAAGATAATGAAAGATGTCCTGAATATAGGTGTCCATATACCTATAAGGACATAGTGCACGGTCTTGAAAACGACTAGATTTACTCCAAATATTTGAGATAGAACGACCAGTTTCGACATACCTTAAAGTGTCAGGAATTGTCAAATAGTCTTTGAATCTGACAAAAGATTAATACCTCACTTATGATCATACATGGGTATTGTCATTAATCTTCACTAACACTTAATGAGAGTAGTACGATTAGCACTGTCTGTGTGGAATATGGTTGCACACATGTTTCGTGTCATATTTCAGTTTCTCCTACTTGGAACATTAAGCTGATAATAAGAAACATAGATCCATTGTTTACTTTCCTATATGTCAGAAGATGAACAATCTGTGTACAGAGAGAACTAATGCAACCTCAATGTCCTTGTACAACTGTTTCAGTTGTCACAAAACGGTTCATATGTCACCTTTCGGAAAGAAAAACAAGTAAAAAATGGTAATTTAAAAAATCGATACTGGTCGTTCATACCTTGATAACCTTTTGTAAATGCATTTTCAATGACCCTCGCAAGGTACAGAGCTTGTAGGCGGTTTTTAAACATGTAACGTATATGTCTATCATGTAACGTATACTTAGATCTACTTCCGTATCGTCACTTGAACCTTAAGAGGCATAATAGAAGCTCATATTTATATGTTTTCACATTTTATTTTTGTTATCTCAATTGATCATCAACTTTGTTCTCAAGTTCGTGATAACTTTATTGACGCCGGAAGGACAAACACAAAGACATTGGGAAAATGCGTGACACGTTTGAAAGGTTTTCCAATTCAAACAGACTTCTTATGGGCTGATTTCGATCGTACTGAAGACGAAGTCTAAGTCGACGGTCCCCATACACCACTGCAAGCCATCAGAAACGTATTTGAGTTAATCCGGGCTGCACTATGCCCAAGAGCTTCTCCAATTCGCCCTATTGGTAGTGTCTTTCTGTCAAGTTGTCATACCAACGTTTCTCACAGAGTCCTCTATGCCAGTTCAATATGTCAAAATCTTCTTTTCTGACAATCAGAAGGCCGGTCTCCCTAGACAAGACTCGGCTGAGTGTGTAAAATCAAATGAAGCTCGATCAGAATTCCATATTAATGCGGAAAAAATGAAGGTATTGTTTCCGATAGGTGATTAAGAAAAATGCAACATGATCGCGAGCGGTCACTCTTTCCAATCGTAATCAAATCAACCACTTCCTTCGACTCCAAATCTGAAGCGATCATGGAGATAGGACATTTTTATTAGCCTTCTGTTTGCTTTCATTTTGCGTCTAATACAATTTGTACAACATCGAAAATCCCACACATTATCCTTCCGTTGCCGGTCCATGTTTCCCCCCCGTGTTTGTTTCCCCCCGTACTGAGCGTCAATCCCATCATTGTGGCCCACATGATCACGTGATCAATTCCTGCGACACTGCCAGGTAGCGCGCTATATAAGCAATGATACAGAGAAGGCAAGCCTTTGAGACTGGAACGCTGAAATCTTATAACATCAGATAGGTGAAACAGACAGTCGACAAAATCCACTTAGCACTGGGAACGGAACGGCTAAAGGACACTTTTTCTCTCTCCAGTAAGTACAGTTGATGTGCTGTATTTTTATTTCTTTGGCTGAAACTTTGATCAAACTTTAAGTTGTTCTTGCAAGCTGGTTGTGTGCGTATGGTCATCAGTACAGATATAACACGTTGGTGCTGAGAAATCATGTCGTTAATAGATTGCGGTGAAGTGTGTGTGTCAATGATAGATGGTACTTTCATCCAATTGAGTGACTTTTCTAGTGTTGAGTTGCAGTGAGATACTGGTTCTATATTAAACATATCGATCCTTTCCGGTACTGGCCAGTGGAAATGATGTCCTTAGTCGATTGTTGTAGCTTTTCTGTGTCAAATTGTAAAACTAAGTGAGGTTTCCGATGTTTTCCATCATAAATATTATTTGTACCCTCATAGTTTAAATTGCTGACGTATGGCAGTTTTATTGAACCTGTACACAATAATTAAACAATACTCATGGCAATAGTGTCGCAAAATGTTAAAGTAAACTAAGCAATAACCATAAATGTACAGCAACAGTCCACGTTCTTCGAAGTAAGAAAGACAATTAACACAAATGCTTTTTCTTTGAAACTGTGCTTAAACATGTCACTGGACTTGTAGATGCTATGCCCAAGAACAAAATACAACACAAATGTGAGCCTGAGATCGCCCTTTACACCGCATGTACACGTCCCTTGTCATAAAGCGGCGATAACCTCACCATCGATCGGCTTTTAGTAATGAATACTACGAAATACCAAGATAAACGCTACGAGGCAGCCACATCGCTAATGCTTGATTTTTATCACAGTGAACATGCAACCGGATTGTCCAGTATCTGTTGATCGTGGTAAACTTCCCACCCACATATAGACACTTTTATGTGTAGATGTATGTACGAAACCCGTTTTAAGGCAGTGCCTATCATTTCACAATGTGCCAATCGTGTTTTGTAGTACTTCCGGTATTGGTATTGGTATGATACTGATACTGATATATTTCTGGAGGTTGCGATGACTTCATCTTGAAGCAACGGGTGGAATAGTAGACCCTTCCTCAATGTACTTTCTATCATTTTCTCTCACTTAAACTGACTTATGAGAAGCAACGTGCATTAGCATATTCTCCCCTCACTTCACTGTAGTTGATGGTGTGTATCGCTCACATCGTCTCCTGTGTCAGGCAAATTAATGTATTGATCGTAAGCTTTTATCTCCCCGCCTGGGAAATCGTCAAGATTCGCGTAACTTTTCTTTTAATGTTTTAGAATTTATTGTTACAGACAATCATTTGTATAACTGATATAAGGTGGAGATATTTCGTCCGATATTTACTTGTAAATCACAGTTGAAAGTCATAAACTGTTAATGTACTGTGTGGTATCTGCGATCTAATCATGTCTTTATTTTGTCTTTCCCTTTCCAAGGCTAGTAATGATTCCGCTCCATTGTAGTTAATATTCAGATTCATCAATGTTTTACAATGATTTATGAACACATGCTTACCGGCAAGGCAGAAAATGCCCACCCTCTTCCCATACATCGTTACCCGCTGTTTTTTCCTGTTACGCCCACTTAAATACAATTCATTGGAGAATGGATCCTGAATATTCTGAAGCGTTATGATACATTCAGATTTTATAGCTGACTCTGCTTTTAGCAAAGAAGGTTTATGACCACTGAAAAGGTTCTTTCGCTTGTATCTTCAACTAACTTAAAGTTACTTCATAGTCTATTCTTCAACATCTGGTATTTTACATGTGTCAAATGAAACACCAATGGATTGCTCACCAAGACCAGCGACATCATCAACAGAATTTCCTGCCACCATTTAATCTGAAACATAGCGCGTGCCTCGTATCCTTCATTACTGCGAATTTACAACAGCTCGGGCATTAATTATTCAACATGTAAAGTAAACCTGGGGGAAGCGACGTGTGTTGTAAATGGCAAAGCCCACCGTAAGACGTAAAAGTAATATTAATCAGTCTTAAAGTCGGCTTCTGAAACACGATTTGTCAGACAAACGGTTATTCAGCGTAGCTACTCATATTCTCTGAGACATAAAACCTGTAAGCGAGAGAAGGAAATGTTTCTGTTTGCTCATTTTCAACGTGTACAAGCTGTACATAGTATAACGCACTGATTTCAGGACCAATCTGTGACACCAAGAATGTTAAATATATATTTCCGCGATTCCGCACGATAATAATATTTAGAATGTGAGGTGTAATCAGTCATGACGTGCGATGAATCTGTACAGTGACATATATCTCATTGTCCTTATCGGATGCTTGAGAGCAGTACCGCAGACAGCGAGCGTCACGTGATCTACTGGACATTGGCCAAGAAGGGGTTCATTGTATTCTGGCTTGTAAATAATACTGAAGAGGTAATGTGGAAAAATACCAATAACCTGGGGAGAAAGATATTTCAGGTTTTGATTGCGGGGCTAAAGATGATGCATTCAACAGTTGTTCGTTGATATTGAATTTAGAATGAATTTATTGTGTTATATTTTCTGACACGTTCAGATCAAGTGATCCAAGTTACATGTACCACACCGATAGCCTCCTATTACTGTAAATCCTTTAGTTCTGATGTTGGATAAAACACCATTTTCATAATTATATAACTGGTTAGGCCGCACAGTTCTGTATCTGCTATTTGTTGGCATGTACTCTTTCAGTGTTCCAGTCCACAAATCATTTTTAGGTCTGTAGTTAAATACAGACTTACGAATATACGTTGTAAACTTAAGAAACCTTTCTTGATAGGGGTCTTGGTGATCAAATATGTGTTTCCGAAGAGTGTTATATTTGGATGTATTACACCGACTTTGCCAAAATCCAAAATAGTTTTCTGAGATAAAGTTTAAGATATCATACGTACCTGATAATTATTAGTCGTTTCTTTCTAAATGTAGTTGACATATACTACTCACACTATGCTAAAGATCACAAAAATTCACAACTTTACTTAAAAGTAGATTTATAATTTGAAATTGTATCCATTTAAAACTGGATAAATAATAATATGGTAAGCCCTCATTAGGCAAATAGTCACTTTAATCTAACGATCCTATGAAGGTTACACGTCTTCGTGTACCTGATGTAATGTGGAAAGCGCTGTTAAACGTACTGCGCTCGGACAATCCTTGGATGGGCGACCATGTTTGGCAGCTTGACTCCTGAGTGTTTCTAGGACTTCAGTCCTGCCCCACAACGAAGCACATGTGATTCATGTGGTCTCACCTTAGGCAAGTGAGTTTGTTCAAATTGCCTCTGTTCACCCAGCAGAAAATGGGTACCCGGTTGGATTAAGTCATGTGACTATAACCTTCTAGCGCCTAACAGGCAGCTTGGGTTATCCGGGGTAATAAGAATCAGATTCTGATTAAGCACCGCGAGCAAACACTTGGTGTTTGGAGACTGTGCGCTATAGAAGATGACTTATTATTATTATTATTCACATTTTTGTGTCGTGAGTTCATGTTTTTACAACTCAACTGTACTATAGAGAAGTACAGCCAATACACCTTTCAGTCACTTATTGTCACATCTGTAAAATAGCATAAGATAATATTTATCGGTGTCAATGTCTTTACTATGAGGAAATATTGTATTTGCTTCAACAAGGGATGGAGGAATAAGCACACTCTCTTATGTGTATCACTTCTAAATGTAATTCAAAAATTTAATATCGGTTCACATCGAATACGACAGAATCGGAAGAACCTCAGACTAAAAAAAATTGGAATATACGAAAATAATCTGATCGTATGATCGACTCTCCTATCCAAGGGTCCTTGCAGTCAACCCTGTACATCTGGCACATCCCACTGAGATCTAAACCCTGTGAGGAGCTAGTGTTGTTAAGGTGTAATAGTATCGTGAAACAACCAGACAGAGCCAGAACTGTAATCGTATGTGTTCCCAGGCGAAGACCGTGAGATCACTGGGTTTTGCATCCGATAAGACTGGTTGTGTCATTAACTGCTAGTCATAATGCATGCAGTGTGAGACATACGTGGATGTCATGTCATGCGATAGGTGTCAGACATTTGCAACTCGGCAACTGGCGTTAAAGACCTCATGATGACTCGATCGTGTATAGCAGGCTACCCGATGGGAAGACGTATCATTATATCACTGGATTAAAAGATAACATGCCACAGTATGTTTACTGTTTGATGATTCATGCTACAGTCTCCCAGCAGCAAGACTTCGGTCTGCAAGTATTCACGTCTGGGCCAGACAATCCTGTTATTGACATGATGGGCACCGATCAACCGATTGGGATACGATGACATGCTTCAAGCAAGTCTGCGAGCTTGTCGATTATTGCGACAAGCATATGATACTGAAACACAGTTTTAACCCGGATCTTCAAGGGCTTATATACCAAACATCTGCGACAAACTTGAGAGCTCCATGTAACTTGGTAACTGTATGTATATCATACATACGTCTAAAGGCAATTCATAGCAGAGATCACCGCATGTTACAAGGTGTCACTACCTGTTATACCATATATTGCTGGACGAATAGATGTTTTATCATTGCCACTAAGCGACATTGTGGACCTTATATCCCGGGACAATGTGTTACCAGACAATATTATGGTGTAGTCGTACGACCAATCACTTGGTGTCGAGAGTCATTTAATACTCAAGAGGCGACACGAGCATTCGTATCAAATATAAACAGCGATCACGGCGGTTGCATAACTTTGGTTAGGGTGATAAGAAGGGTGCGAAACACCATGCATGTGTATGTGAAAGGATGTGGCAAAAGTTGTAGATGGATGTTAGGATATGATGCGGAGATACAAACGGAGATGGTAGACAGAGGTTGAAGTAATTACACACGGAGTAAGGGATATAGAGGATATTATATGAGTGTCCATGTCATACTATGGTTACGACACGAGTGCCTAAATGTTGATATTTCCAGAGCGAGAGCGAGGGATATACCGATGTTTAGGCACGAGTGTCGTAAACATAGTATGATATGGATACTCATATAATATTCTGC